GGGTTGGGTTGGGTTGGGGGTAGGGGTGTGGGTTGGGTAAAAGGTGTGGGTCGGGTCGTCGGTCGGTCAATCGTTCGGACGGGTTGGGGTTGGGTTGGGTTGGGGTTGGGTGGTGTAGGGTATAGGGTAGAGTAGGGTTGGATTCGGTCGGTCGGTCGGCCGTCGGTCGGTTTGTTCGTCGATCGGGCGGCCTGGTTCGAACGGGCTTCTTCGTGGTCACTCGGCTCCTGTGTGCGTTACTCTTCTATCTACATGTTTGTGGCGGAGTGTTTTTGCGCGTTGCCAAGCTGCTTTGTGCTTCTTTGGAGAGGTCTTCATTGGGGCGTCGTGTTGGTTGAAAGTGCCGCCTTGCATGTTGCATTCGGTTCACTTGGGATCTGGCGGATTTTGGGGGTTGTTTTCTTGGTGAGGTGTTGATGGGTTCGTCTTTACCCGACCGACGGTGTCCGGTTGGGTTGAAAAACTGGGTTGGGTCGGGTAGGATTGGGTCGGGTTGGCGGGCTGGGTTCGGTCTCGGGGGGGTTGGGTTTGGCTGCGCTTGGTTTGGTTTTGGTTTGGTTTGGTTGGGTTGGGGTGGGTTGGGTTGGGTTGGGGTTGGGTTGGGGTTGGGTCGCCGCCGTCGATCGCGCCGCCGTCGCTTCGTCGCTCGTCGCCGTTGGGTTGGGTTGGGTTGGGTTGGATACGGTTGGGTAGGGTTGGGTAGGGTTGGGTAGGGTTGGGTCGGTTGGTCGGGCGGTCGGGCGGTCGATCGGGCGGCCTTGGGCCGCCTTCGTCGATCGCGCCGCCGTCGCTCCGTCGATCGTCGCCGTCGATCGCCCTTGTCGTACAAAAATCTCGTCCCCCGACCGCCCGGTGGCCAGGCAAGGTTGGAGCAGAGAGCAAAATAGCGGTTTCCCCGGGACACCGGAACACAAGTATCGCCTACAGCGCAACTCCGACGCGCCGACAATCGTCACGCCCCTGGTTAGACCAAAGGGTCTCGTACGTTCCAGACGGAGAGAGGGGACATATGTACATCAGAGGATACCTGCTGGACTACAGGTGGAGCCCTTTTTTGGCGGGACTGTTGCAGTGTGTGTGTGCGTGAGTGTAGCGTTATGGTTCTTAAGGAGTCCACAATAAAAAAATAAAAATATATAACATCATGGGAGAGACGTCATGAAGTTATTTCTTTGAGCACCTGAGCACACCGCGTCAAAAGCCAAAGCCCCCTCTTGCCACGAGTGTTCAAGGGCACAACACAGCCCACCGGCAGCACTGATTGCATGCGGAGCTTCACGTGAGCTGTTTCCTGTTGGGATCAACGGAAAAGCACGGGCGCGTGTTTTTGTGTGTTCACGCGTGCACTTCTTGACGGACACACATCGTAAAATAGCGTGCCTTGAGTGCCTTATTTTTTTCGGCGGGTCATCACTGAAGAGATGGCTCCGGACATCTCGGCGGTGTCCGGCGACCTAATGCGGGCTGAAACGATCGCAGTCGGGAGCGACATCTGGACGGACGATGAGGAAGGGGAAGTGTGGACGATCGCCGAGGTCGTGCACCAGGAAAACACTATGCTGACGGTCCGGTACAAGAGCACTGGCGAAGAGCACAAGATCGATTTGGTGAGACACAACATGCGGATAAATATACCTCTGTCTGGAGTCGAACAAGTGCACGGGTCGCGCACAAAGAAGAAAGAGGTGGTGTGATGTTGTGATAGCACATACAACAATTCTTGCCGTCGGTCTGTTACCCCCCCCCTTGTGTCCCCAGGCAAGGTGCCTTGACCTTGGGTAGCGCCCAGTCGAAGGCGGGCGCATGAAGCACTCCTTTTCAAGTAGTGTATCCACCCCCTACTTGCACTCATCCGTAAAAAATATGTCCACGCAAGAGGCAAGCAAGCAACCAACCAACTGATGTTAGCTGTTTCCAAAACTGGTTGTTTGCTGTCTTGAGATAAAGCGTTCAATAATGCGACACTCTTGGGTTGTTGAAGCCTGCGTAACTAACACCAAGCGTTTCGGGCCGTAAGCTGCTGCTGCAGCTGCAGTTTGCGGGCGAGCCGCCGATGGTCCCTTTTGTTACGCGGAGCTACATCTTGCTGCCTTCCATGCGTATAGTCTAATAGTTTTCCACCGGTCGCCCCGCTGGCCTACGCAGCTGCACTGGGTAACCTCGCACCAGGGTGTGGGCTCAAATCTCTCTTAGGCAAGAGACTTAAAACTTAAAACCAATTTGCAATTCTCCTGTAGGTGGAAAAGCGATTTGTTCGTGAGAACACGCGGGGGGAATGGTTTCACCCTTCCCGCGCGCAACATCGAAGGCTGGATATGTACGTATCAGCAACAACCTTGCTTCCTCCGTCTTGCCACCCCAGCTGGTGCGTCGAGTATGCATGTGTAGGTTTAGACTAGCGCCAGACAAAATGGGGAGAAATCACATCGCATCACCCCATATATAACACCGCAAAATGTCTGCTGTTGCTGTTATTTCTAATCAAAAGAGGGACCGCAGTGTATGCGGGATATCTGATGTAGTTCGTCACAGCTGTACACCGATCTGGGTCAAAATTCAACCTGAGAAGGGAGGAGGTGCACTCGTGTAGACGCACTGCCGTAGTTCGTTTTTGCGATCCACCTCGCATCCCTACAGTGCCGGTGCCGGTACGGAGCGATACGCCGGGTTTTGGCCAACTCAAGCTGTGTTTCACCGCGAAATGCATTGCCGTTGATGTTATTTCTAATCAAGAGGGACTGCCGTGTAAGCGGGATATCTGTCGTTGTTCGTCACAGCTGTACACCGATCTGGATCAAAATTTCAACCCTGAGAAGGGAGGAGGTGCACTCACGTAGACGCATTGCCGTAGTTCGTTTAGACCATCGACCTCGCATCTCTATAGTGACGGTACGGAGCGATATGCCAGGTTTTCGCCGACCCGGTCTGTGGTTCACAAGGATGAACCAGAAGCTGGTCATCATCCTTGCGTTTGCTGCTCCGAACTGCTGTAGAGATGCCATGGGTTGATTGGGCAACAACAGTAGCCAAACGTTTCACATCTGGCGGGAACTACTTCAAAGTACAGGTCGGGACTTCGATATTTGCTGTGCGCTTGTACACAACAGGCGCGCCACACACAACGAACACATCGGTTCGTGTGTGATATGCACAGATACACTTGGAGGTTTCATCTGTTTTCAGTTTTGAGAATGCGATACTAAAGCTAATGGTATGAATGCATAAGAGAGTTACACGCTGGCGTATTTTTTCTCATGCATGTGGTTATATAGTGTTTCCTCCACCATTTGATTTTTTTTTCTACGCTCAATCCTACGAGGTATACAAAACAATAAAGGGGAGTGCGGTTGCAGGACGCCAGAAATCCCTCTACGCGGGCCCTCTTGTTCCATTCCATCAGGAGACCCGGGGGCCGAGTGTACGGAGCTGAATTCTCGTAGAATACGAGCATAGACCACATGCACAAAGGAAGGCTTCGGCCGACAACGCCGCGGTCCTACACTGCTGTAATGTGTGGCTATTATTGGCAGACAAAAGCCAGGACTTAACTGCGCTACCTGTTCCGTAGTAACTTCGACGGCGACGTCTTCGAGATGATATTGCGTGTTGACACTTTGCGAAGCACAGCAGGCGCTTGGAGATTACTCTTCGCTTGGATCGATCGAGGTGCGACGTGTGCATGTGATGGACTATCCGCCCAAAACGACGCCTTCTTTTGGGTTCTACAAGCAAATGTCCTCCAACGACGGTACCCCCCTGCGCCCGGCACACCGCTCATTAACAAGCACACGCATAAATGGCTTGTATACTATCATCTGGGCTCTTTGCTTTGCTTCCTTAGCCCGCAAAGTCTACCTATCTCATGCGATGACTTTAGCTTTGATCGGTTTTGTCGACCCTCTGACCCCCTTAGCATTAGTAAGCGCAACGATCGAGCTGAAACCGGATGTTAATTGATCCTTCCAGGGGTTTGGAGAGACGTTCCCGACGAACCCGAGAGTCGTGCCGGACATGACGTCACTGCATCACATCCACGAGGCCGGAATCCTCCACAACCTGAGGGAGAGGTCAAAGCTTAGGAACCAGCGGCCGTACACGTTCATGGTGAGACGAAAAGGAGAAAGAAACGTGCATGCATGTGGTGTCCCTGTTTTTCTGCTGAGTCGTCTGTAGATCCTAAGCTTAGCCGTGCTTTGAGCCGGCAGGGTACGGTGCTTTCCCCGACCCGCTTGGAAGGAACGCCGCGTCGGCAAGAAACCTATCTTGCGCACTGCTGCGCCGAGTGGCTTGGTCGTGCGGCCGCCCAGCACAAGCCGTCCGCCGTGACTCTTCTCAGCTGATTTTGTTAGCGGTTGTGGCAACACACAGCAGCAGTAGTAAACAGCACACCGTGGTGGAGCCCTGCCTGGCAACGAGACACCGGGGTGCTGTGAGAGGAAAGTGTCGTGATTGACCAGAGGTAAAACACACACGCATCGTTTTGTGGCTAGCTCTGCGTAAGGATAGCCACCAAATCTTCCTCCACCGTGGGCGCTTATGTTGTCTCGTGTGTGCGTGTGTGTGTTTGTCCCGCCCCCCCCTCCGGCCTTCCCCGGAGGCGATGTTTGCCATCGGGGTTGGGTTTTCGTCACCTAGCAGCGATGTTGTAAAACAAGCCGATCACTTCGTGAGCTCAGCAACGAGGTTACCGCATTTTTTTTTTGCGGTAACCATGAATGGTGGTCGGGTAGATTTTGTTGTGCGGGGTCGAGAAGCCTCACTCCGCGCAAGAGGGATAATCGCACGCTGTGTTCAAATGGTCAAGCACCCTCGACGCAGTTACTCAGCGCCTATCACTGTCTTTGGAAGTAAAAGCAGCAGAAAGTAAATCAAGTCATACGCAGCTGTCATACGTACGCAAGGACGTAGGCACAAGGTGCCGAACATCCTTAGCAGGATGCAGCGCACCCTTCATGCCACTCGCCGAATACCTCTCGGCGTTTCGCGCTAGGTGATGCGAGAGCCTGGTCCGGTGAGAACCCGGCGTGCGCCGTCCCGGCTTTGAAGGGATGCGAGGTCAATGGTCTAACGACTACGGCATGCACGACTATGAGTACCCCCCCCCCCGCCTTCTTTGGCTTGGCCTTTCTTTCTTCCCGGGCCTCCCGCTAGGGCACTATCCTGATCGCGGTGAACCCATTACAAAGAGTACCCAGCCCGGACATGCGTGACTACATGGACAAATCCCTCAACCCCGAGACCCCGCACCCCTACGCCATCGCCGAGGTGAGCAAACCCCGCGTTCGTTGCGGCTCCATCTCTAAAGCGAAGAGAGCCAGCATGCGCGGTTGAAAGAGAGACACGGCAGGCGACCGTTCTCGGCTACAGCAGGGTGGTTGGTGAAGTCGAAAAATCCATAGACAATGGCCAACGCCCCGATTCGCCTGCCCTCCGTGGAGTGGGATCCAAGATGGATGTAGCGCTTGTCTGGGAGAGGCGATGGACACAGATGGGCACAAGCTTAAAACATGGGAGAGAATGTCTCACGCGTTGATGCTAGAGCTTAATTGAGCACGACCAATATTAACCCTCGCTGTGTACGACGTTGATGGTCACACGTAACCGGACACTGCTGTGCTCTGTCGCCCACTGCTGTCAAAACATGCCGGCGAGAGGGATCAGTAGACACAAGGATCACTACTCCTATCCCATGCCCTCCCTAACGCTCGAGCGCCGGCGCCATATTTTCGGCTTGGCAGTTGGCCTACCACCAGATGCGTCTGGGCGCCGGCCGAAAACTGGCCAACCAGTCCATCGTTGTGTCCGGAGAGAGCGGCGCCGGCAAAACCGAGACCTCAAAGATCATCCTGAGGTGAGTTTGTTTCATGAATGAGAGCTGCAGCAAATGGGGGCGCACGTGTGTCTGCTAAAAGCTGGCGCCGGAGTGCGGCTGGGCGTGAGTTGCGTCGCGAAGTGAGCCACCACGCGCGGCGCTCGTTTTCTCGCTGATGCTTGGGACTGCTGCTCTATGTCCCCTTCCGTCACGAAAAAGGGGGACAGATGCAGGAAATGGGCGTGCAAAACCGAAGAGGAGAAGCACACCTCCAGTGCGAATTGTACACCTTGCGTATGTCGAGAGCGACGTCGCGATCCTTGTCTCATTGGTGTGTTTATGTTCCACCTCTCTTTTGATCGCTTGGGTCTGACTCAACAAGAGTTCCCCCCCCCCCCAACCTTGTTTTAAGACCTCGACAACAACTAGTTAGAAACGCCTTTCCTCCGTGTGCAACCCCTCGCTCCAGTGCACAGCGGCAGTTAAATCCCTCGACAAACAGCAAACAGATATTCCTTCCTTCGTGTACAACTCCCCGCTCCAGTGCACGGCAGCAGCAGCAGCAGTAGCAGCCTAACTCAAACCTTCACCCGCGGCATCTGAGTAGCGCGCGTAGCGGACGGCAGAAGACCTTGTCGTGGCTGGCTAGAGACGTTCGACACGGCTCACTTGTTTCCCCTTCGCCCCTCACTCACTGTCTGACTGGCGTGCGCGCGTCTTCTCGGCGACCAGCTTTCTCACCCGCCGGTCTGTGGGGGGAATCGCGAACTTGGACCAGAAGGTGGTGGACTCCTCCCCTATCTTGGAGTCTTTCGGAAACGCCAAGACGCTTCGGAACAACAACTCGTCCCGGTTCGGAAAGTTCCTCAAGCTGCAGTTCACCAAGGACAAGTACCGCCTCGCCGGCGCGTTCATCGAGACCTACCTGCTGGAGAAGAGCCGCGTGCTTACCCAGGGAACGGTGGGTAGCAGGGAGAGGGGGGGGGGGAGAGGGCTCATTAGTACCGGTGGTGTGAACGCCGGATTCGCCGACACTATTGGCGGACACCCGGCACTGCTGTATTCGGAGAATATGAGGCGACGTGATTGTTTCACCCGTGTCGAATGCGATTTCACCAGCACCAGCACCATTGAGATACCGCCAGTGTTTGCGAATTTTCGCGTAAACTCTCCCACTTGAACACTGCAACGGGTGCTGCTACTCGCATGCGACGGTCGTCTCGTTGGATGTGTGCGCTGTAGGCACTGCTGTGTTGTCTCTAATTTAGAACTTTCTACACACAGCATTTCTGGCTGCACCGGTGTTCCTGACCACCGTCGTCATCGGCGTTTTCTTCCTTCTCTTCTCTCGCTCTCTTTTCGGTGCCGGCGGCGGCAGGGAGAACGAAACTTCCACATCTTGTACCAGCTCGTCGCCGGTGCTTCCGCCCTCGATGACGACCTCAAGGTGATTGGTGTTCAAACGCCTGCTTGCTTTTTTTCTCTGTTGTGGGGCTTGTAACGGTTTTGGAGCGAAGAGGCATATGTAGCGGCGCCAAAGCGTCGGAGCGGGAAGCGGGTTGTGCTAAGGGGAGCCGATGCGTCGCGGCGGGCATCTACGGGACACGCTGTTGGCATTGATGTGTTCGCCAAAGGGTTTTGAGCTGGTGCGCCGGGGAAACGGTCAATCCACATGGTTGTTCAGCACGATGGTGGGTGTGAATAGTAGCAAACACGCTCCTCGATGGACGGACTGCTTGCCGCGTTGCATTCATGCAACATGGCTTGAGAAAGCAAGCTGACATCGTGTTTCTCTCCCTGCCCGCCTACCTGCCTGTGTGTCTTCCTGTCTGTAAATATGTCTCTGCCTATCCCATTCTCTTTCTCTGCTCGTCTTGCGGCGGAACTTGCGTCGGTTGGTCGTGTGATGCTTGGACCGTAAAGCTGGAAGACGTGGAATCGTACAAGATTCTCGCTCAGAGCGAGTGCGTCACGCTGGATTGCATGGATGATACCGAAGAGTTCGCTACGGTGAAGTCCGCGTTCGACACGATCGGGATGAGCGCCGAGTCGCAAGCACAGGTGTGTGTGTTGTTGGGTATTGATGAATAGACTGATCAATTTAAGCGAGCACTCTGTCTCTGTCTCTGTCTCTGTCTCTCTTTATGTTTGTGTGCGTCTCTCTCCCTCTCTCTCTCTCTCTCTCTGGGTGTGTCTCCCTCGGTCTGCCTGTCTCTCGTTCTGTCCCTCTCCACCGTGCTCTCTTTACACGTCTCTGCTGTCGTGCTGCCTGTCTCTCAGCTCTCAAGACACCTCTGTTAAATAGCTCGTCATCGCAGTTCGACAGCAACCTATGCACACGTCGCCGGAATTGTACTTCATGTGCAATCATTATCTCGTCCTGGACCCGCCACACAAGGCATTAAACCTAAGCCCCCTTCCGCGCTCGCTTCTATCGACGACCAGGTCTGGCGCATGCTGGCGTCGGTGCTGCACATGTCGAACCTCGAGTTTGACAAGGTGGACCACGAGCAGGGGGAGATCGCCTCCATCTCCGACCGCGAGGTGAATAGGATGCCTCTCGCACAGCGCCCCCCCAGTGTACCTTCCCGAGCACTAGTCCACGGGCCATGTGTGGATCATGTGGAAAGTGATTTCGACAGCCAACCTCTTGCTGTATTGTAAACACCGGCGGCTTGTACTCTTTGTTTGAGATCCCCGTGCGTTCTGGCGGCAACATCGGGGGACGGATTAACTGCCCGCTTACCCCATCCATCTCCTTCCCTTACTGGGGCACGTGACTGCGTTTTGGTCGACAAGAAATGGTAGTCAGAAGAAAAAAAAGTCAAACACAGGCCCTAAACCCGCACAGCATCGACCACAAGGGGTGAGTAATGCCCGGTTTTATGTCCTGACGAGAATCGCTTCCCAAAATGGATCATACCAATTGGTTGTTGACGTTAGATCCTGCCCATGCCTGCTGTGATTACAGCTGCCGGGGTGAATACGGACCATTGCTTTAATGATCATGGTGTGAACGCAGGAGCTCGATTTGTTGCTTACCGCACAGCAGTGTCTCCCACCGTTATCAGGTGGTTGGCTGCAAGGGAGCTTCCCGTTTTTTTTGTTGTTGTTGTCTTCTTTCTCACGCAAGGCCGCAAAAACGAAAAAACTTGGCTTGGCTACGCGTGCGACAGGCCCTGTCGACGCTCGCGGCGTTCCTTGCGGTTGAAGAGTCAGCGCTAGAGGCCATGCTGACGCAGAGGGTGGTGGTCACCAGGGGGGAGACGTTCACGAAGCAGCTCGGCCTGGAAGAGGCCAACCTCACCCGTGACGCGATCGTCAAGTCGCTCTACGAGGTATCATCATCATGACCATCATGACCATCATCATGTCGTTTTTCCCTTTTCTTTTGTGGAGTACACAAGGTATCCAAATCTCTTATAGAGATCAAGCGTCCAGGATGTTGTCGTCGTTCCATCTGCTTCTTGATCTTGATGGTGCAAGTTTGGTGAAAATGTCCCTTCGTGTATTGAGGAAAGCGGCTTGGCTATACGCAAGTGGCCCAGCGCGACGCGGCAGGAAACAAATCGCGCTCGGCGCCTGTTGATGGGTGGGCTTGGTAGCCGTGCGTCTTCCATTCCTCGTGGGCGCGTCTGGATGGGGGCGTCAAAATATGCCGTTGTGTGCGTGTTTTCGGCGTTCGGAAAGAGCGTGTGGAGGACAACGCTTGGCATCGAAGTTCCGCATACGACCACCGTTCCTTGGGTGTCGTACGACGTCGCAGTTGCAAGGGTCTTGAAGTAATCCTCTGCCGGGCCCCCTTTTCGCATGCCCCTCCCCACACAGGCCCTGTTCCTTTGGGTGGTTGCGGTCATCAACACCTCCCTGGGCAAGGGTCCGGACAGTTTGCCGTTCATCGGCGTGCTGGACATCTTCGGTGCGTGGTTTTGCCGTCATGCGACGCGTTTGTTTTTTTCGCTCTTTTCAAGAGCGCGGGCATTTCGGTGGCGAAGCTACGCCGTCTGTGTGCCTTAGTCTGGTTTGCACACGCGCAACACCTTTCCAAGCCATTCTCGTTTGGGAATGGTGGTCGACGTTTAGTGAAGATTCTTCGCCCGTGTATGTCAAGAGAGCCAGGGCGTCCCTTCTTGTCTGCTGCTGCTGTGTGTGGTCCCTTCGACACCTCTCGTTTGGGGATTGCCAATTTTTTGCCAAGATTCTTCGTCCTAGGTGTGTGTCAACAGAGACCTAATTTTATACTTCCTTGTTGTCTGCTGGTGCTGTGTATGCCCCCCCCCCCCCCCCCCCCNGAGAACTTCGACACGAAAAACGAGTTCGAGCAGCTGCTCATCAACTTCACCAACGAGAGCCTGCAGGACACCTTCAACAAGCAGGTGTTCAACAACGAGCTCAAGCTTTACGAGGCCGAGGGGATTGACGTGGTGGTGTCCAACTGCCCGGACAACGCCGAGTGCCTCAAGATGCTCTCGAGCAGGCCCAAGGGCATCATCCCCAGGTGCAGACACTGGCGGGGGGCTGCCAAGCACACGATGCCGTGGCTTCACTGCCGTCAAGAGAATAATGCCGTGAACGTGAACACCAAAAAATTACCGTGGCTTCACTGCCCAGACTGCATAACCTTTACAGTTTAGGGGTGTTAAAGCGGAAAATTTCCTATAGGAAAAAATTTGAAAACGCGTCCTCGGATCTTGCTGATGGAAAATCCACCAACCAATGAAATTGCACGGAACCGTCGGAACCTCCCGAAAAGACCCTCTGACGCACACGCGCGAGGGCGCCGCTCGTGTGTGTGCTCTGATTATTCAACGGGTTCTCTCTTCCGCCTGGCGCTGTCCCGCCACCGCCGGCTCCTTCTCTCGCGCAATGGCTTGTTTCTCCTGCTCGGCCTGCTGTCTCCGTGCCCGCTCCGACTTGAGCTCCTCGTCTTTCTCGCGCACAAACTCCAGAGCCATGCTGCAACCAGCTTTTTTGCTCTCTTCCTCACTTTTCCTACTTTGGGCCAGCTCCTCCCCAGCGCTTGCTGCGCGGCGGTGATGCTGCCGCCTTAGCCACAGACTTCCCCGTCCTCTCTTCAAACTTCGCTATAGATTCAGCACAGCGCGCCTGCCGCCACCGAACGTCGTGGACCTCCGTTTTTTTAGGGGGGAGGGTTCGCGGTGGGCGCCGCAGACCCGCTTGAAGGGCCGTTATCGGACATCCAGATCTCGGGGTTGGCTGACGCGATTCGGGCGCGGTCTGTTGTGCTGTATAGGTGTAAGCCCAAGGTAGAGGACTGCTCGCTTTCACGGGAGGAGCAAAGGTCGCCTTGGGCGTGGGCAAAACAGCTGAAATAACCCTGTTTTTCTGTGTTGTTCGTCCGCCCTTTAAAATTAGGTAAAAACTGAGTTTGCAGTCACCTCTATTGAACCTGTGTCCAGGTGCGTGTAACGCATGAAGAGCCATTCTGCTGTTTGGACGCAGAGCTGCCTGCACAAACAAATTGACTTGATGTATAGTTTATTCAGTATTAACAGCGGGATTCTCAAGAACCAAAAAAAGAACCAGATCCGCGTGCCCTCCTCAAAAATTGCCGAATGGACCGAACGTTTTTTTGGCCCCAAATTCCGCCGCTTTGACACCCCTAACAGCGTTGAGAGGCGTGTGTTGTGGTGTGTTCACGTGTTGCGGGGAATATGTCATTGTTCACCAACACTCATGTTTGCAACCTCGAGAGACACAGAAGGAGAGAGGGAGGGAGAGGCACCAGAAGAGGCCGTCGATGACGAGAAGTATGTGGTTGTTTTTCACGCTACCGCTGTCTGGACGAACATATCGCTGTCTCACGGACGTGCTGTACTCTGACCGTCCGTGTCCTTGGTTACATCCTCTTCCCCCGTGCTTGTATGGTCCGCGTCCCATACTGTTTTGGGGAGCAGCCTGGACAACGTGTGCGCCGAGCCTAACCCCAGCGACTCCCGCTACCTGAGCGCGCTGCACAAGGAGCACGAGCGGCACGAAGACTTCCCGCGCACCAAGCCGCAGGACATGGTGAGAGGATGCATGCACACACCCAACGTATAGCTCTAAAATGCGACCGTGCCGGCATGCGCGTTGTTTGTTGGCTCGTCGTCATGGACCACCAGTTGTCTGCCGTTTGGTGCGATCCAATTGGGAGGACACGGCTTAGCGGCGTCTGGTCGAAGTGGCGAGTGTGGGAGTGCTGTAGATTGATCTGCACGGGCACCCGGCGCGAACTCGCGGCAAAAATCCCTGTCTTCCTCTACGTTAGGGGGGGGGTGGCAAGTTCGTTCGAGGTCCACAAGTCGGGTCTGGTCTAGAAGAAACGCCTCGGTTCTTTGAGACAGCTGTCCGGGAGACAGATGTTTGCGACAACGCCCCCGATGGCACCGTCCCTTCTTGGAGCGGGGCGTGAGCCGCGCGGTGCTATCGTGCGCTCACCAAGCTCACGGTATCATTCTTGTACACCGCCGCGGCGGCGTTGATGATCCACGAGATTCACGGGTTACTGTTGGTGCCGAATACACCTCCAACCCTCGAGAGAATACGACGCGCTATAGCTTTGGACGGCATGGTCTGCCGATGTGACCAGCTATCTTCCCGCTCTCCCGCCCCTTGTCTCGTATCTCTCTTGCGCGGACATTCCCATCTAAATCCAGCGCGAATGCTTCTGGGTGAGGCACTACGCCGGGAAGGTGAAGTACACCGTTGAAGGGTGGGTGGAGAGGAACATGGACCGAGTCCCGGAGTCGTTCAGCAGCACTCTCGCCGCAAGCACGAGCAAGGTGAGTGGGGAATCGCTTCGGCAACCGAACGATTGTCATACTTGAAACAGCCGGTCCGGCCTTGCCTGTCTGGGTGCCTGTCTGGCTGTCTGTTGCCTGCTGTCTGGCTGTTTACTAGCGTGAAAACGCCGACGTAAGACTGTGGCAGACATAAGTCATCAAGGCAATTGCGCTGGGCTACTGTAGGCTGGATGGAGAGCTCTTGCTGGCGTGCCACTTTTGGTTGCAGATAAACAGGACGACTAACGGAGTACCAAAAGCACACCAACACAGACCTTGTTTTTGTCCTTGCCGTTGGCTACGGCAATCGGACGCTTAGATCACCGCCTCTATCGTTGTTCCACACTGTTGAACCGACCAGAGGTTGGTCCCCCCCAACCTCCTTTGGCAAAGAAGGAAGGAACGATTGGCCATCGGGGATCGGTCCTGTGGGAACATTCCTCCGTCCTATCGAGGATGCGTGGTCAATGGTCTGTAACCCCGAAGGCATGCAAAAACGTAAGAGTACATCCCCCCCCTGTTCGCCTGCACGTGGAAACCCTTTTTTTTGTTGTTTTGTGTGTAGGTTGTACAGGAGGCTACAAGCCATTACGGCAAGCCCCCGAGCGGTGGCGCTGCCGCCAAAGCGAAGCCGACACGGGCACGCAAGGTGGGCACGCCGCTATCTTTAACACTACGTTTGTCAGTTATCCGCTTGTGTTTGTTATTGTTGATGTTGACGGGTCATGTATGCTGTGTGCTCATGAGCAGCAAAGCCCATATTTTTGCTTTGTTCAGCAAGATGTGTGTGGATGTGTGTGGATGTGTGTGCCACCCGTGTGCGGTCGTGGCTGCAACTCATGCATGCAGTGAGTGCGTAGGCTGTATGCTGTAAACTGCTCCACGGCCGCAGAAGGCCTCGTCCTCCTCGCGACGGGTGTTACGGTTGTCTTGCCCCCAGCGTGTGCTCCTAGAGGCAAAGAAAGCGGCAGAGAAAGACAGGTTTCACAAAGGCTACCAACTCGTTAGACTACGTCGGTCAGTGTTGACTACGTTGGTAAAACCTAGCGAAAGAGTCGCTTTGCGGATAACAAACAAGACACAATACCGAGTGCTCCTCGCCCCCTATCTGCTTGTCGGCTCTCTAGACCCTCGTCAAGCCTACGGTGGCGAAGGCTTTCTTGGGGTCCATGGAGGCCCTCAACGTCACTCTGCTGAGCACCATGTGCAACTTCGCGCGTTGCATCAAGCCCAACGCAGAGATGCAGTGCGGTGTCTTCGACAACAGGTGCAGCGTGTGTTTGGAGAGGACCGCGACTGTTTTTAGCGCCCTGGGTCGTCGTGCGTGCAAGCCCCACCCATTACCCCACGCCGCAAGATAGTTACACACCTGTGTCGAACGAGTTTCCGCGGTTCTGTCGCGACGTGCCTGCTTGCGCCGCATTTTTCAGCTCTTGTTTTTGTGCCCTGCTCCTGTGTCGTCTATCGCACGTTTGTGATTTACCGCAAGGTACGTCGTGGACCAGCTGCAGTGTTTGGGAATCCTGCAGACCTGCGAGGTGCTCAAGGTTGGCATGCCCACCCGCGTCACGTACACCGAGCTCAAGGAGGTGCGAGAAGCGACATGTACCTTCCTGTTGTTGTTGTTGCTGTTGCTGTTGTTTTCACGTTAGAATCCAGTGTAGCCTTCGCCGAGTACCCCCTCCACCCCCTCCTCCTCCTCCTCCGATTTTCCGTGGTCACTATAAGCTACTAACCCCAAGATATGGCATCGGGAGTAAGATACCAGCTTTTTGGGGGAGGGGGGTTGGTTGAAAGGCAGATATGTAGACAACACCCGCTTTCTCCGGATAAGCACGTTCCCTTCCCGCACCATACACCGACACGTCGACCCCCCCCCCCCCCCCCCCCCCCCCCCCCCCCCCCCCCCCCCCCCCCCCCCCCCCCCCCCCCCCCCCCCCCCCCCCCCNNNCCCCCCCCCCCCCCCCCCAGGTCCTCGGGGCGAGCGCTGCGGAGGCGGAGAAGCTTTTCGAGGGGGAGCCAGAGACGGCCTTGATCGCGGCCATCCTTTGGGCCTTTGAGGTGTGCAGGGAGGGTAGTAGCAGGCAGATTTAGCGCAAGGGTTCAGTTTCGCGTGTAGGTCGTATTTGCTGTGCGTTATAGCAGTACCATAGAGGCACACACCGCCGGACGACGTGGCTCGATGAAGCTGTGTTGACACACTTAGAGTTACGTTTGTTTCCAGATTCAACAACGTATCGCCCTTTCGCTATTCGTGTACCTACATGTTAGCCAGAGACGGTGGGTGGAGAGTGACTCAGGGATGCTCGTACGAAAGACCGTCAGGTGCAGCATCAAAGTGGGTAGCCAAATGCACGAGGCCGCCCACTTCTCTCTACGCGTTTCTACCAGCTCCGGCAGTTGTTGTAACGGGCGTTGTGACAAGCCTGTTATTTTTCTCGTTTTTTGAGCATGTGTTGGTAACAGCCCCGGCAAAGCTGTAGCGGAGTTCTGGCTGACAAGTTTTGTTATTTTTTTTTTTGTGCTGGGGATGTGGCCTCACTGCTGCTGATTCTACGTGCTTGTAACAGCTCCGGCAAAGCTGTAGCGGGGTTCTGGCTGACAAGTTTTGTTATTTTTTTTTTGTGCTGGGGATGTGGCCTCACTGCTGCTGATTCTACGTGCTTGTAACAGCTCCGGCAAAGCTGTAGCGGGGTTCTGGCTGACAACTTGTTTTTTTTTTTTTTGGTGCTGGGCGTGCGGCATCGCAGGTTCCCTCGGAGGTGTTCCGGCTGGGAAGAACCCGCGTTTTCTTCCGCGCGGGTCAGATCTCCACCCTCCAGAAGATCCTCAACGAGACCGGCCCGGAGAAGGCTCCCTGGATCTTCGAGAGGCTGCAGGAGGCCCTGGCCAACAGGCACAAGGCTAAGGCCGCCGCCGAGGAAGCGCAGGTTAGAATCGTCTGTCCCGTCTGTCTTGTTGTCGGGGAGCGCTATAAAGAGGGATTGGTTGTGTCGGGGAAAGCTATTAGAGAGGAGGACTATTTGTACTTTTAGACATAGCCCTCTGGATATTCTCTCTGTCAGACCTACCTTGTTGGTGTGCGTATCTACATTTCTAGTTGTCGCGCTTTCAGGCGGCTCACGCGTCCAATAATCGGCATGTGTGTGTGTGGGTGTGTGTGTGTGGTTTCTGGCTTGCACTGCCGTCCTCCTTTCCCCTCACGTGACCCATCCCATCCCACCTTGCCACCGAACTGCCACGTGCACACACACACTCATGCCGCCCCGTCACGGGGTCCCAGTTAATGTCAATTTCTTAAGAGGTAGAAGTGTTGCGTGTTTTCAACCGCTCGAAGACTGACGTCTTGTCATTGGTCAGCCGGTTAGCGCGGTCGATGCTAACAATTAAAGCACACGCACACACGAAAAACAAAAAAAACAGGCTGCCGTCGACCTCACCGAGACAGCCGTAAAAGAGGCCCACGACGAGACGATCAAGGTCATCGGGGCCGAGGAGGACGACGGGGACGGTTCCTCGGTCCGCCCCCCCCCCAAGCCCGTCCTGAGCAGCGACGAAAAGTACAAGCTGGAGACGGCGGCGAAGCAGGCTCGCAAGGCCGGCGACTGCGTCCAACAGGTC